GTACAGTTTTGGAAGAATTTGTATCCGAAAATTGTCAATTTCGCAACAGAATGCTGTAATTCTACAAACGGAGGAACAACTAACTTAATCCCTTATATAAAGCACTTAGTTATATGTTTATCATGCCTAATATGCCTTGATATATATGTACAAATACCTATATTAACATATTTTTAATAATATTTACAAGTATATTAAATATGGTATTAGGCCATTGACAGACCATAAGAGAAATTAATAAAAACCATTATTACGAATATTTGAGTTTTCTGTCCACAATTTAAAGGCATATTTAATTAATATTTTCTTTTGAAATATATTTGTTTTATTACTCTAGTCTTTGATATTGGGGAAGTATTCTGTTCTGTTGCTTTTCATTTTCTTCTTTTTTGGTAAAAGTCATTTATTTTTACATTTCTCCATTGTAAATTACAAATAATAACATAATAAGTGTTTAACTGAAACGTCAGTCCGATTTTAATCGATTTGCAAATTCAATTTGTTGTATTTCTCTCCATTCCTTTTTCGGTTTCATGCGTTTCAGCTGGCCATCCCATACCAAATCGACCAAACCGCCTTGTTTGGCTATAACACCTTTGACACGATTGGCAAAATCTATCGCCGACTCGCCTTCTTGTCTATACATTGGCGGCAAGTACCACACATCGCACACGATTGCCCACGACGTCATCATCATGTAAAGATATTGCATCATTGAGTATTTGGAGCTGTTCCAGAATGCATCGCCAAATCTGGGATCGTATCTGAAACGAAGACAAATTTGTTGATATTATGTGGACTGACAGAAAAGGAACAATAGGCACAATGCTTACTTTATGGCAACGGGATATATAACGCCGCCCACTTCGAAACTACCCTTCTTAAACTGCATAACGGACGTATTGTTGATACAGGTACCTTCCGGGAATATCAGAATTGGCGGATTGCTGGGATCTGACACATGCTGTTTTAGTCTTTCGGCAACCAAATGACGATCCTTAGCTTCACCCCGTTCAAACCAAATGTGAGGAGATGCTCTTGCCAGTGCTCTTTGTAAAATGCCAAGGAATCCACCATGTCGTTGACCGATCTATAAATGAGAGTTATACACAATATTCTTTTCTCTTTTTTTTTTTTTGGTTCTCTTCATATAAAACATTTAAGTAATTCAATGTATGTGTATGTATTCACTATATGACTTTATCCAATTCCGTCTAGAGGATGGATTTGAATGATGATTCATTTAAACGATGATTGATTGAAATGAATTACAAATGCATTTTTGACATAACAAGAAGGCGTGATATAACATAGTATTCCGTTAAAACTTGAATTGGTATTACCTGAATTTTGGGTCAAGGTATCTGGAAAAATGGAATTACTTTCCGTAAAACAATAATAATAATAATAGCAACAAGAACTGATGCTTCTATTGTATATTGATTTTTCTGCTAGACTCTGAGACTATGCGAAAATCTGGGAATATA